CGTATTCCAGTATCAAAAATAGCCATTTTCACTTTAGCACCAGTATACCCTTTTCCCCAAAGAGCATCCGCTCCAAACAAGGAAGTAACTTGAGACCTCTGCAGCCCAAAATTCAACAACAATATAAATAAGTCCATAACTTTCCCATTTAACTTCTCAAAAAGAAATTTTCTTTCTTTTTGGGATAAATAACAAAAGAAATTTTAACTTTAAGCTTATTTAAACAAATTAAATTTTACCTGCATCAAAAGATGGCGACTCCAATTAATTGAAGAATTACTTAAACACGAATCGTGGCAATTTTTCTCTTCACTAAACGACATCGAAGTAAAAATCTTTCCGGGTCGTTTTTTCCCGTTCTCAAAAGCAGCACCAAGCATCCCCCTGTTATAGCTCAAATCAACGTTCACATCTTTAACTAATCCCAGCCTCTCAATTTTGCCGATCAATGCTTCTTTTACCGAATCCTTAATCGAAACCAACCCGAAATCGGTGGGGAACTTGGACGCAGGGTTGCGCCTCTCGATCCATTCCCAGCCATCGGATCGGAGGCTGGATTCTAAGTACGAACGGTGATCGGACGCCGGTTTGTAGTCGGTGAACCGGATTATGTAGTTGTTACGGGTGGTTTGGGGTTGGGGTTGGGTTCTGTTTGGCGTTAGGGTTAGGGATTGGTTAACAGTCGGGTCGGAAGACAGTTTGAAATGGAGAAGAGAGAGGGAGAGAAGAAGGATGAAGAGGGAGGATTTGAGAGGAAACGAAGATTGAATTGTGATCATGATGGGCCGTTAACACTTGATTGCGTTGGCGGGAAAGTTCCCTCATCGGATTAGAGAGAAAAGAAAGAGAAGAGGTTTCTTCCCTCTGTTCCGTCTAACTCCAACTTCAATCGCATTTTCCGCTTCCGACAACCTCGTCAATCTGAATTTGGAGGACAAAACGATCTTTTACACCTCACTCGTCAATCACTTATTGACTGCCACGTGAATGTGAGACACGTGGCCTAAAATGTAATTTTATACGGCTAATTAAGTGGCGTGGCCTAAATTATCAGGCAGAAATTAAATCCCAAATTCCCAAATCCATGGCTGTGAGATTGGTTATTCCAATCAATTAAGCCACCTCACCTAAATTACAGGATACGAACAAAAAAAAAAAGAAAAATTTCCAACTTTACCTTTTCTTTTTTTTTTTTACTCATAACCAGATAAAATAATATTGAAGTAATTGAATTTTAAGTTAATTCAACTCAATTATTATCATCCAAAAATAAGAAATTTATAATTCAGTTGCAATTAAGTTGAAATTCAAAACTTAAATTAAAATTTAATAATTTTACATGTATTTATGATATTCAAAACATTTATGGCATATTTATTCAAAACAGTGTTATCATCCAAGGTCCTCCACAGTCTTATGCCACCGTCCGCTCATATACCTTTTTTCCATCTCCTCAACTACACGTGAGCACTTCTCCTCACCTGACCTTAACACACTTCAGGGTATTTGCTAGCATTTTTCAGGAACTCCGACTGATTGTGCGTCTTTGGGAGTCTCCTCACCTCTCTTTTCTTCAGTTCCTGAATTGGTTGGTCCCCGGATTTCATATATAGTTATGAAGGATCACAATACTCTTCATCAAAATCTTGCTAACCTTTTCGAAAACCAAATTTAGTAAAATTTCGCTAAAACTAGTTCAGGAATCTTGCGAGTTGTTAATGCATGTCTAATTTTGCTGGACGGGTTATCGGTGGGATTAATCAGGGCAGCAACTGTGGTTATCACTGTGGGTAGTATGTTGTGTTATTGAATTATCATGTGGCTATTTGTTGTCGCAAACCAAAATACCACTGAATTAAAAGAACAGAAACATTTAAAAGCATTTCTAATAGTCATTTTATTGTAATAAAATCTCCAAAAAGCACACCTGATAAGCCAAAGGGAACAGATAAAATTCTATTGAACTAACTTTTCCCTAGTTGTAGCTGTTAAATTAGCTGTGTTCCAGATTTTGTTCTGTCAAATATGTTGTGGATTTAGTTGTCTGACAAGCATTCCTATGTCATACGTTTTTTTTTTATGTTATGTTTAATCGCCATTGGTATGATAAGTATGCTACCCTTGATAGCAATTGGCATACATTTGTGCTTTACATAGTCGTAGGTCAAGAGTTAGATCTTATAAGAAGAGAAGGATCAATGTCGTGGGTGAATCGACTTCAATTGATGAAGCAATTATGAATGGCGCCATGCTATTGTGTGAGAAAATAAGCGAGGTTGGAATGCAATAGATCCAGGCTCTTGGGACTGAAATGATCCTGCATCAAAGGTTTCAAGAGTTACATGCAGCATTAGGTGAGATTGAAGGTTTGACATAGGATGAAAGGGATATTGTAGGCATCAAATTTGCTGATCGTCCAGTTCAAATGCTTCTGTTTTCAGTCTTCAGCCTAGCCGCAGACTTAGATTGGTGAGAAGGTTTATTAACTTCGATGGGTGAGAAAGTTTACTGGAATCTAAAACGAAGAATGGTTTGTTCTTTTGGATGAGAGAGTTTATATGAACCTAAGATAGAGAATGGTCTGTTCTTCTAAGACTTTGTTGTTAGTTGGTTTGTTCATCTAGGACAATGCTTAAAAATTCTGCTTCTAAGACAATTTAGATTAAACTATTTTCTAATCGTAATAGTAGTAGTAGTAGTAGTAGTTATTTAGATTAAAGTATTCCTGTCTTGCTTTTCTGTAATTCCAGGGTAATTTAGGTTTATATGGTTCTTAAATTATTGGATTAATGGGTTCTTTTAGGTTAGGTTAAGTGATTTATGTAGCTTGGTTTTATTTGCAGCCAGATGCGTCTTTATAACAGGAAGGGCGAAACAATGGCGCTCATATTCTGGGACGTAACGACTTTTCACGTTATTAGTGCATTAATTAACCGTTGCAAAATCGTAAAGCAATCTCTACCATTTAAAATTATTTAAATATGCATAGGAAATGATTGGATACTAGATATAAATCATGAAAAATATTATTTAATTATAATAAAGAGTATTTTTGTTTTTTAATACAATTTGTCAGTTGATTATAATAACTGATATTTTTGTTTGTTAGTATAAAATATTATTAAAGTATAATAAACGGTATTTTTTTAAAATAAAGGCTATTTTTATCTTTTTCACAAATATTATCAAAATTATAATGAAGGTTATTTTTGTATTTTGTTAATAATATTATTAAAGGTTAAATAAAGGTATTTTCGGCTTTTGACCTTAAAATGTTATTAAATTATAATAAAGAGTATTTTGGTATTTTGATAATAATATTATTGAATTATAGTAAAAGATAATTTAATTCTATCACTTATTCGTTGAGTAGTTTTGTCTTTTGGTTAAAATAAATTTTAAATTTTAACAAAAGATATCTTTGTAATTTTATCACTTATTTTTTATTGTTTTAAAACTCTTTTGGTCAATCAATTATTAAAATAATATAAAAATAAAAGTTTATTTTATGAATAAAATTACATAATAATTATTTTTAACTTTTTATGAAAAAATTATTTTATCTTTTTCTTTTATTTGTTGAAATCAACGTACTTAAATTTTAGTTGAATTTATAAATTATATAATAAACAAGTAATAAAATATTTTAATTTAATTAAGTATTTGTTTGATTTAACTTTTTTTCGATTTATTTATCACTTAAAAACAAAAATAGATTAAACAAAATTTTAAAATTTTTTTTAAAAAAATAACTTTTGTTAAAAAACAGAATCTAAAAAAAAATTCAAAAAAACTTCAAACTTTTTTTTAATTTTTTATTAAACACGTTCACTTCAAGAGATTTTTTTTTTTTAAAAAAAAAAATCCTCTTCTATAACATTTCTTTCTCGAAAAATACTTTTCTCCCTTTATGGATCTCTCTCTTTTCCCTTTCTACAAATCACCCTCATCTATTATATTTCTAAAAAATTATTTTAAATAAATAAAACAATTAAATTAAAACTTTTCTGATTATAAATAAAAAAATTATAGTTAATAAAAAATTATTTATTGAATATATTTTATAATAATTTTAATCAAAATTAAAATTTATATAAATTATTTTGTCATACAGTTGAAATAGGCTCTAAATTCATATTTGAGTAACTGAAAAATGAATAAACTTGAGTATTCACCCAACCTAAAGTCGAACAATTTCAATCATTTCAAGTGATGAGAATATGAAAGGCTTCCTTTCCTAAAGAAAAAACATTGGAGAAACCCATGTAAGGCATCCTCTTCACTTGCATAACTGTGCTGTGTCTGACCGTATATCCCATAGCGGGGGACAGTGGTTGGGGTTTGAGGATTGTGATTGCTTCTTGGGTTCAAGCTTATATACTCTCTGTTTGGATTTTCGGTAAGAGGCTTACCCGGAAATTCTAGGCAAAAAATACCAGCAGTGCACGCCGCACAGCTTGAACCCAGTAAATGGCGCGAAGCCTACTCCTTTGCTCACAAACCAGAACCAGAGCCAAGCTTTCATTCTCACTCCCACATCGCAAATTCCGGTCCAAGCCCCACCGTCATCACCTTTACTATGAACATCAAAATCTTCCTTCAACGCGCGTCTTTTGCCACTGTGTTAGCTCCCCACCGTCAACCGTAGTAGATATGGCCAAGTACAACGAAGCTTTCTCCAGGCGAATGGCCATGGCCGGCCTCAAACCCCACAATCATATTGGTTAGCTTCTTTTTGCTCTTCCCTTTGTTGGTTTTCTGTTTGTTTCTCGAGAAAGCACATTAGGAGGCCAGAAAACAATGGGCTTTTACCAGATAGTAGTATTTTTCATATTCGTTTAAGATTTTTTTTAATATAAGTTGGTTATTCAAATTAGTAAATATTGATTTTTCCTTTTTTGGGTTTGTATTTTAGCTTTAGGAGTATCTGGGGGACCGGATAGCATGGCTTTGTGTGTTCTAGCAGCTAATTGGAAAACTGAAGGCCTATATGGCAGTGACAAGAGTGGAAATTACATTGATGGTCTCTTGGCAATAATTGTTGATCATGGGCTTCGTCCAGAGAGCAAAGATGAAGCAAGTCTAGTGGGACATCGGGTTGCAGAAATGGGTATGTTTTAGTTTATCTGTGAATGTTGAGTTTGTAACTTATCCTTGGATAGCTAACATGAGTTTGGTGTAGGAATCAGATTTGAGGTTGCCCGTTGTGATTGGTCAAATGGCAAGCCAAAACAAGGTCATTTGCAAGAAGCTGCTCGTGAAATGAGGTTGTTATTTCCCCTTTTAAAGTTTGTTGAAATTGCTTGCTGGCCTGCTGGTAGAGCTGTTAAGCACTTCTTTTGTTTTTCTTTTATTTTTTTTATTTCATTCTCTTTTTTTTGTGTAAGTATGCTTTATATTTGTGGTTCAATTTGACAAGGATAATCATTTAATTTGAATCTTTTGTTTTCCATTAATTGTGCTTGAATTTCAGGTATAAAATATTTCAGGATGTTTGTATGCAAAACCAGATCAGTGTTTTACTTGTTGCACATCATGCAGATGACCAGGTTTTTACCAACATTAATGTGCTTCTTACGGTTTGCATATCTGTGCTTGTATACAAGATTGAAAAAGTTGCATTAAGCCTTTAGTTGTTTGATTTTATTGAAAGTAAATGTTCCATACTCAATTTGTTTAAACTGAAAAGAAACAATTAAACTGTTTTTGGTTTCTCACTGCATGATTAAAACACGAAATGCACAGATGGGATTCTAAATATGGTAATTTTTTATCCACAATGTAGGCTGAGTTATTCATTCTTAGATCATCTCGTGATAGTGGGGTCCTTGGACTTGCTGGCATGGCATTCACATCTCAAGTGTTCTCTTCACATGCATATTTTTGTAACAAAGATTGGAAATGTCATAGCATTCTTCTTGTGCGGCCACTTCTGGATTTTTCAAAAGAAGACATGTACAAGGTTAGTGCAAAGAATATAGCAATGTGTGATTGATTGTTGCCTTTGCAACAATTCAGTTCTTTGTTTTTTTGATAAACTGCAACAATTCAGTTCTGTTATTGCTGTTTTAACGTTCTCTTTTACTAGTATTTTTGTAAGCCCTAAATGGATCCTTTTTTCTCCTCTTTTTGATAGATATGTCAAGGGAGTAACCATGATTGGGTTGAGGATCCAACAAATCGAAGTTCATTATTTGCTCGGAATAGGATTCGGATGTCACTGGGAAATTTGTCATCTTGTGAGTAGTAATAGATGTTACTGTTTTGGTTATATGGATACTGTTGTCGTGCATAACAATCATGTTGCTTAAAATTCTAACTTTCTGTCATATATGATGGTTTTCCCTTACTCATCTTGCTGCTGAGTTGCCAAAGCTTGAGGTCATATGAGATCTCATTTGAAATTTTGTATTAATACATTGTTTATTGATACCCTTACTGGAAACGAATTATACTTTAGGCTTCACATTTTGAAATAACTACTCTCTCTTTTCCAGGTATCTTTAAGTCTGAACTACAAGCAGTTATTTCTGCCTGTCGAAAAACACGCACCTATGTTGATCAAATTTGTAACAATTTGATAAATCAGACTGTCACAATAATGGAAGTAAGCATTCTTTTGATGTTTGGGAGCTTTTTGTTGTCCATTATATCTTACTTTAATTTGACTTTAGTATATTACTGCAAGTGAATTCATTATGATGGATTACTTTTGCAGCAGGGTTATGCAGTTATCAATTTAGAGGCACTTAAACCATCAAAAATTGAGGACATATGCCTGTCTAAATTTATCGCATTGGTTTTACAGGTACTAAACCATTTAGAATATCTCTAATTTTTATGAGGGAATCGGGAATGCTTCTATTAATTCCATTTCTTGCTAACATGTCAGTTTATTTCACAAAGGCAGAGGCCAATTAGAGGTAGTACTTCAAAATTGCTGTTGCAATACATTCGTACCATCCCATGCAAGGTATATTACTTTCACTAAAGTTGTATTTGCATTTCTTGTGCAATTATTTACTTTTGTTCTCTGTTGCAAGTGCAAATTTCTTGATTTTTGCCTTTGAAAATTTGTGCAGACCTCCCTTACTGCGGCTGGTTGCTACATTTGTCCAGCTCCTGGGTCTAAGGGTACCAAAGCTCTGATATGCTGCTCTGTTAATGGTCCTCTGCCTTCAAAGGCAGAATTATTTCATGTACACTCTAGTGAAGAGCAGAAGCATTTTTTTTCAAATGACTTGGAACAAATTATAGCAAATGGAAAATCATATTCTATTAACTTGCTCCCTAATGCATCCAAAGTGCAGTTTTTGAACATGGGGTCTGCATCAGTTCTAGGTGAAGCCCAGAGACTAGGTATTATCAGTGAGTCAACCTATAGAAACATTATTTTATTGCAAAAGGAGGAAGTCAAACGTTTCAAGTCTAAAACAGATGAACTTGTGTCTGAATGTAAGCCAAAGCAGGAAGCTGAACATGTTGCTGCATTTCTGAGTGAACCACTTCTCGATGGGCAAACATACTTCTTCATGAACCGGTTCATTATCTCATGGAAAGTAAGCAAAGAAATTTCTTGGAATGCTTTTCCCGGAGAAGCTTATTGTCTCTCATATTTGGGAGGGGAAAGTCAGCAGAGTCATTGCTGTTGTATAAACAGGCATGACATGGTAGCCAAGATTCGTCCCATGACTGATGCTGATTGGCTCTATCTTGCCAAGTTGTCGAAGTGGCCAAGTTCAGATAATTTTGAAGCAACAAAACTTCCTTTCTCTATTGAAGCAAATCCATTAACCAAGAAGACAAAAATATGCTCAGATTATTCAAGGTTATCTGCAAAAGGAGCTCTCAAATCACTGAAATCTGTCCCTGCTGCAGCAAGAAGAAGCATTCCGGTCCTGGTCAATCATGATGGACAGCTACTTGGCATCCCAGTATGTTAAATTCTTCCTGTTAGTTACAAGTGTAGCATATCATTGAAGCCACTCTGATTTCTTTGATATCTTATGCAAATTCAATTTATTGAGCACATTCAAATTTTCTTGGAAGCAACTTATTAAAACGATTAGTTCATGCACTCTTTTTCCTAATCTTTTCTGCTATATTATCTTGGTAGGCATTCTTGACAGTAAACAGCTTCATCATGTGTATGATTCCTTCATTGCTTTTAGATAGGTGGGGAGTTTATTAGAATCTTTCTTCTCCCTAACAATTTTTTTTTCTTCTCTTTCAGAGCATTGGCTTTAACCATTGCCCTTTCTTGATGACGTCTGCCGTATTCAAGCCAAGAGTACCACTTGGAGGGGGACACAGTTCCTTTCTTTAGTCTTCTTAATTTCAGTTTATCAGGTCTTGATTTTATACAAGCCTGGGATACTAGAAGGAATGCCATTTGCCCCCCTGAAAAAGGTTGGAGGAATGCTGGGTATACATCACATTTTGTGGTAAACTAAAGTTGAAAATGTAACTACAAAGCTCTCCTTAGGTCACTCATTTATCCCTTCTCTTTATAATTCATTTGTTTATTTTTATGGTTGTAACATCATTTTCCTTCTATATTTTAGTAGCAGAGCCATTCTTTTAAATGTACAGCATTACCAAAGTGTTAATAATACTTTTTATTTATGTCAGATTTATTGGTGTCCTTTCTGGCTTATCTTGTTGGCACGCCACCCGACCTGAAGCTCAATACACCCATTCATGCAGCTCAACAGGCATCACCCATATTTTAC